TTTCCAACCTAATTCTGTGTCAGCTAACATTGGCTGTTGTCGAGGAAGGCAATGGCTAGCAATGCGTAACACATGCCCTAACCATACCAATCGATGTAGCTTCACAGCCTCACCGATTTGCATTCCCCTCCTTACCCAACACTCAACGCATGACTTCAATATTCATCACCCTATTATACCATCTAACATGGGAGACAGAACAAAAACATTTATGATCAAAAAGAAAACCAGCCAGGCTTTTCATGTCTTCCACTTTCAATGGCCACGTCTCGCTCACAGCCATAAAGAAGGACGAATAGAACTGCTACTGATGGTTAGTCAACCGATTAGCAGCAGCCGTCTATGCCCCAGAGGTGATGTAAGTTGTCAAAAGCACGACACCAGCCTTTTGTATCCATACCAAGATTTGGAGTGGTTCAAGTATTGAGAATTGTTGTAAAGCATATTTACTCAATTTCTACAAAAGTCAGTCATAACTTAAGAATGTTTCATTATAGTGTCTGTTTTCGACATAGAACTTTGCACATATGTGCGGCAGTTCAAGTCGCCAAACTCCCTCCATGTAGCACACAAAGCAAGAGAAAGTAAAAAGAAATGCATAATAGAGACAGTAAACAGAGGTCTGTCTGTCTCTGTCTGTTTTCGACATAGAACTTTGCACATATGTGCGGCAGTTCAAGTCGCCACAATCCATGTAGCACGCAAAGCAAGGGAAGGAAGTAGAAGAAATGCACAATATAAACAGTAAACAGAGGTGTGAGACAAAGGAATAGTAATAACGGAGAACAAAACAGTTTAACTGGAAATGATAAGTCACAAGGAGTGGATGCATCTGCGCCACTGAGAACGATTTTGAGCCATGTCGCCAATTGTTTCCAACCATTGGTTTTTACCGTCCCGAGGACCCAAACCAGGAAGTCTACACACTCCTACGTGGCTTAAACTAACTGTTGTGGATTTCAGTGACTGATGCTATGTTTTAGTTTGACCGCCGCTAGCTCTTTTCCAGCCTGACCCTATATCAGCTAACATTGCCCGTCGAGGAAGGCGATGACTAGGCATACGTAGCACATGTCCTAACCATCTCAGTCGATGCAATTTCACAGTCTCGTCGATTGATTTCCCCGCCTTACCTAGCACTCGACGCCTAACCTCAACATTGCTCACCTTATTATTCCACTTCACACGGGAGATAGAACGCAGACACCTATGATCGAAGACAGCTAATCTTTTCATGTCTTCTGCTCTCAATGGCCAGGTCTCACAGCCATAAAGGAGGACGGAGCGGACTGTTGAGCAGTACACACGCCCTTTGGTCGATAGTCGGATATCGCGTCTACGCCAGAGACGGCGAAAGTTGGCGAATGCGAACCTAGCCCTCTGTATTCGTGCTGAAATTTCGTCGGAGATCAACCCGTTGGGGCTGATGGTACTTCCCAAGTAAGTGAAGCGGTCAACGTGTTCTACCACTTCACTTCCTATTTCTAATCTAGGGGTCGATGAAGTCCAATCCTGCAGCATCATCTTACATTTTATAGGGGCGAATCGCATGCCAAACATGCGGAGGTTGTTGCTCAGGGTGTTCAGTAGACTCTGCATTTTGTCAGAGTCCTCGCCTAGAAGGACTATATCGTCCGCATATTCTAAGTCAACGAGATTCTTCCCTGGTAGCAAGTCAATCCCTGAGTCGCTGAAGTGAGTTAGGGTTAAGTCCATTAGTACATCTATGATGAAATTGAATAGGAATGGGGATAATGGGCATCCTTGACGGACGCCACTAGTCGTCACCACTTCAGATGACAACTCGCCATAAGCCCTCACCTGGCTGCATGAGTACGAGTAGAGTGCCTTAATCAGTGCAATGTATTTTCTTAGCATTCCCTTTACAGCCAAGCATCGCCAGAGAACCTCCCGGTCGACGGAATCGAATGCCGCCTTTAGGTCAAGAAATATAATGATTGTCGGACGCCGGTAGGAATGCCTATGTTCTAGAATCTGTCGAAGGGTGAAGATGTGATCAATACACCCTCTACCTGGCCTAAAACCTGCCTGGTTTTCTCGTGTTTGTGTCTCCCGAGCACCACTTAGTCTACGCAGTATTATTGAGCCTAGGATTTTAGATACTATATTAGTCAAGCTAATCCCTCTGTGATTATCACAAGACGACTTGTCCCCCTTCTTGTATATCGGGATGATCAGTGACTTACACCAACCCTATGGGACTTCCTCTGATTCCCAGACGCTGCCTAGAACCTCCGTTAACGCAGACATTAAACTGTCGCCTCCGTACTTAAATACCTCTGGAGTCAATAAATCAGGTCCCGCTGCTTTGCCTAGCTTCAGATTGGTGACAGCTTTAGTAACCTCGGTTAAGGACGGAGGACCTGTGTCTATCTCCCATTCAGGGAGGTGTTGGATGTCCGGTAGGTTAAGTGTGGCTGTGGGCCAATTAAACTGCTCCTCATAGTGTTCTTTCCAGCGCTCCAGACGTCTATCCTGGGAGCTAATTATGGTGCCATTTTTCTCGGAGATTGTTTCGCTTATCATTTGTTTTTTACCACCTGTTTCCCTGATAAGCCTGAATAGTTGTCTGGTGTTGCCTATCGACGATGCTTTTTCCATCTCTTTCGCCTTTGTCAACCACCATTGTTCACGGTCCTTGTGGAGACTTTTCGTAAGTTTCCTCTTGTGCAGCTTTCGCTCCTCATTGAATTCGGAGCTCGCCGGAATAAGTCTTCTAGCATCTATCAGTTCGGATGAGGCAGTCGAAATCCAATGGTTTTTACTCACCTTTGGATTTACCTTATTCACAGCTTTTACAGCTGTATCTATGGCTGACTGAATATTCTTCCAGGCTTCTTCAGGGTGAGCGCAGCTGTCAAACTCAGATATGTGTTTAGCTAGTTCTTCCTCAAATAGGGACTTAGTTCCCTGGTCGAGCTGGGGACGTGGTGGGTTTACCGCCAGCTGTTTCCTACGTCCGTTCAGTCGTAAGCACACACGAGCGCGGACCAGTGCGTGATCGGTATCTACACACGTGTTCCAGAAGGAGCGACAATCTCCTACCGACCCACGCCAACGATAGCTTATTGCTATGTGGTCTATTTGTGTCCAGCGTTGATTTGATGATGGTGGTCGCCAGGTCAAACAGTGTCTCTCCTTGTGTTTGAAGTTAGTGCTTACAAGATACAAATGATTATCTGAACAGAACTGTAGGAGACGGTCACCGTTGTCGGTTCGCTGGCACGGAATTCCGTATGTGCCACCAACATTCTTCTCAGATTGACACAATTTCCCTACTTGAGCATTAAAGTCACCAGCTAAAACGACTATATCTGAGCGTCTAGCCTTTCGCAGCAAACTGGACAGCTTTTGGTAGAACTCATCCTTCGTTTCATCCGAACTGCAGTCAGTGGGGGCGTAGGCGGAGATTACGAAAAGGCATCGGCGAGTAGTGCAGTCCTTTCTCCTTTTCACTGATCCGTTCAGGCGGACAGCGCACATTCGGCTATCTACCGGGATCCAGTCAAGTAATGTCTTTTCTGCTCTAGTACTTAAAGCTATCCCAACACCAGCTAATCCTCGTGAGCTAGCCGTCGCATCTCCTGACACCCTCAAGGTGAATTTTGCAGATTCATCCTGTTGGCCAGGTGGGGTTAGGTGAATAACCACACTTGGGTCTTGTATGCGTGTTTCTGAAACACAACATACATCAATGGCTCGGGATGCCAGAGTCTTGGCTAGTGATGCTTGTTGTCCTATTTGGCAAAGTGTCCTAACATTAAATGCTCCTATATAAAATTGGTGGCGTGGCTTTAGGAGACCATCAGTGGTGGCTTTTTGGCTTCCATCGTTATCAGTGCACACAGAGTGAAGGGGAAGTGAAGAGCCAACAAGTAGAGGAGTTGCATTAGTAGAAGGAAGGCAAGATAATAGAGATGAAGATGAAGACAAAGATGAGCGAGGATTAGAGGGGTTTCGCGTGCACTTCGGATTGTGAGGGCGATTGTTACTTCCCGGCTGCCCACACCGTGGAAGTAGTAAACAGAGGTATGAGACAAAGGAATAGTAATAACGAAGAACAAAACAGTTTCATTGGAAATCATAAATCACAAGGAGTGGATACATCTGCGCCAGGCATTCAGAACGATTTTGAGCCATATCTGTCTGTCTGTCTGGATTCAACATAGAACTTGGCACCGAAGTGCAGCAGTTCGAGTCGCCACGTTCCAAATAGCACACAAAGGTAGACAAAAAAAGGAATTAAGAGAATCAATAGAGTTTTGACAAGTATAAGAGTGAAACAGAATGAGTAATGGTAGAAAGGAATATGAAAGATTACAGAGACTGATTACATCCGCGCCATTGACGACGATTTTGAGCCATGTCACCTATTGTCTCCAGCCATTGATTCTTAGAGTCCCGAGGGCGGGCCCCAACCCGGAAGTCTGCATCTCCCTACCTGACTCAGTTTAACTGTCAAGGATTTCATGGATTGATGAGGCCATGTTTTTGTTTGGCCACCACTTACTCTTTTCCAACCTGCACCTATATCAGCTAGTAATGCCCGTCGGGAGGGGGAGGCGATGGCTAGGCATGCGCAGCACGTGACCTAGCCATCTCAATCTATGTAACTTTATAGCTTCTTCGATTGATTTTCCCTCTTTGCCCAACACTCTACGCCTAACGTCAACATTACTTACCTTATTATGCCACCTAACGTGAGAAAGAGATCGTAGACATCTATGATGAAAAACAGTCAACCTTTTCATGTCTTCAACTCGTATTGGCCATGTTTCAGAGCCATAGAGAAGGACGGACTGTTAGACGACTTTGGTGTAAGATTTGATTTTAAAGCATAAATGAGAATATATATTTTAAGTTATTTATTAATAATAATACAATAATTATAAAATAGTCTTAATGTTACTCACATTTATCTAGAATTCTATCAAAAACAAATAAGTCAGTCGCTTATTCATTCATTCATTCAATCAATAATGAGTGTTACCGAAGAAGAGTTACGTGGCAAACCTGTCTGCTTGATTATATTGGGTATGGCTGGTTCAGGCAAAACCACTTTTGTCAATAAACTGACGGAGTATTTAACAACAACATCGAATTTACCGTATACAATTAATTTAGATCCAGCTGTTCATCATATCCCTTATAGTCCTAATATTGGTAAGGCTTTTTTCTAATTATTCCTGATAACTATTCCTCCGAAAGATATTCGTGATACTGTGAAATTTAAAGAAGTTATGAAACAATACGGTTATGGTCCAAATGGTGCTATTATGACATCATTGAATTTTTTCGCTTCCCAGTTTCATAAAGTTGTGGATCTAATTAATAATCATAAGAATAGTAATTCAAGCAAAGTCTCCTATGCTGTCATCGATACACCTGGACAAATTGAAGTATTCACATGGTCTGCTTCAGGAGCAATTATTACAGAATTACTAGTAGGTTGTTGAAATGAAAAAAAATCTAATTTGTTTTTTTTGCAACTGTAGGGTAATTCTTTTCCTACAATCATTATCTATGTAATGGATACACCAAGAAGTCATAATCCTATTACATTCATGTCAAATATGCTTTATGCATGTAGTGTTCTATATAAAATGCGTCTTCCGTTTATACTGGTCCTTAACAAGGTAATCTATACGTTTTTAAAGTGTACCAACCTGTTTTTTTTGAATGCACTTTATGTTGGTTTCAATGGCAGTGCTCACCAACCACCCTTATGATACAGGTTTGACTGCCGGGTGACGTACTTTTAAGCCTTATATAGCCGTCTACTGCTGTTGTTGCTGCTGCTGGATTCAACATAGAACTTGGCACTGAACTGCAGCAGTTCGAGTTGCCACGTTCCAAAGAGCACACAAAGGTAGACAGGAAAATGAGTGAAGAGAATCAATAGAATTTAGATAAGTATAAGAGTGAAACAGAATGAGTAATGGTAGAAAGGAATATGAAGGTTAAAGAGACTGAATACATCTGCGCCATTGATAACGATTTTGAGCCATGTCACCTATTGTCTCCAGCCATTGATTCTTAGAGTCCCGAGGGTGGGCCCCAACCCGGAAGTCTCCATCTCCCTACCTGACTCAGTTTAACTGTCAGGGATTTCATGGATTGATGAGGCCATGTTTTTGTTTGGCCACCACTTACTGTTTTCCAACCTGCACCTATATCAGCTAGTAATGCCCGTCGGGGGAGACGATGGTTAGGCATACGCACCACGTGACCTAGCCATCTCAATCTATGTAACTTCATAGCCTCTTCGATTGATTTTCCCTCTTTGCCCAACACTCTACGCCTAACGTCAACATTACTTACTTTATTATACCACCTAACGCGAGAAAGAGATCGTAAACATCTGTGGTCAAAACAGACAATCTCTTCATGTCTTCCGCTCTCAATGGCCACGTCTCACCGCCATAGAGAAGGACGGAGCGAACTGCTGAGCAGTATACACGTCCCTTGGCTGATAGCCGGATGTCACGCCTACGCCAGAGATGGTGTAAGTTAGCGAAAGCAGCCCGAGCTTTCTGGATCCGTGCTGTGATTTTGTCACCAACCAATCCGTTGGTGCTGATACAACTTCCCAAATAGGTGAAGTGGTCAACATGTTCTATTACTTCACTCCCTATCACTAAGCTAGGAGCCGTCTACTACTGAATGGCTGGTTTCAGCGTAGAACTTTACGCCGATGTGGAGAAGTTTGAGTCGCCACACTTCACTTAGCACACAAAAGCAAGAGAAGAGAGTAAAAATAAATGCAAAACAGAGACAGTAAACAGAGATATGAGGCAAAAAGAATAGTAATATCGAAGAACAATGGAGTTTCATTGGATAAGTCACAAGGAGTGGAAGCGTCTGCGCCATTGAGAACTATTTTGAGCCATCTACTAACCGACAGTAAACTCTGAAAATAAAGAAGGTTGGGCTTAAGGCCAGCAACCCCCTCCCCTTCGCGTAAAAACAACAACTACAGAAAGATAGGGAAACCCTGCGCATTCAATCTTAATAAGCATCCATACTTCTCCCCAACACCACAGAGGCTAAAAGATTAACTAAAGCGTCCTCTCTATGCATCTATACCGTGCCAGATATTTGAAATAATCGGCTAAACGAAGGTCTTCACTGTGTAACATCAAAAGAGACGTGTACGATAAGTGTGACATTGTTTCTGTAGTAAGGAAGGGATCTGAAAATATTATTGAAACAAAACTCTCTTTGACTTGTAATCTGATCCACAAAGCAGTAGAGCAGCATCAGGAGCTACGTTCCCATGGTTTTTTTATTGACCAGAACAGGTTCATACACATCATTCTATATTTTCAGATTGTGGAGCCCATATACACCATTATAGGTTTGCAATCAGGGTTTTCCAAGTCCTCTAGATAGTAGACTAGCATATCCTCCACCAATCCGGTTGTAAAGGTCAGGTTGTTAGCATTCACCCTTTCACTTATGAATAGGACTTGTCTGTGTCACAGGGGCTAATGAATACCTGGCCATATGAGAGCATTTTGAGAGGAAGACCGGAGCCTACCCACAGTCGAGTAGACTAGGTCGTTTATCCGGGGGGGGGTTGCTGCTATAAATTAGAATAATCATCATGTTATACAGAGTAGCATATGACATCTTAGTATATCATTGCAACTTCCCACATCTCAGAAAATAAACAGGCTAGTAGTAAAATTGAATCATTGAGTTGAGTATATTCCACGCCTAAGGTAGGATCTAATGTAAATAAGCGATCCAATGTCAAGATCACTTCCTATTTTCGCAACTACACCAAATAGTAATCTTAATAATCATCTAGTTATACAAGTGTTGGTTTGCAGGGATTTGATTGGTTACAATCTGATGCTTACTAGTGACTGGCCATATTCAGGTAGATCGCCCCTGTAAAATGTAAGATGCTGCTACAGGACTGACTGGACTACGTCAACTCCTAGCTTAGTGATAGGGAGTGAAGTGATAGAACATGTTGACCACTTCACCTATTTGGGAAGTTGTATCAGCACCAACGGATTGATTGGTCACGAAATCTCAGCATGGATCCAGAAAGCTCGGGCTGCTTTCGCTAACTTACACCGTCTCTGGCGTAGGCGTGACATCCGAATAAGGGACGTGTGTACTGCTCAGCAGTTCACTCCGTCCTTCTCTATGGCTCTGAAACATGGCCAATACGAGTTGAATACATGAAAACGTTGACTGTTTTTGATCATAGATGTCTACGATCTCTTTCTCACGTTAGGTGGTATAATAAGGTAAGTAATGTCGACGTTAGGCGTAGAGTGTTGGGCAAAGAGGGAAAATCAATCGAAGAGACTATAAAGTTACATAGATTGAGATGGCTAGGTCACGTGCTGCGCATGCCTAACCATCGTCTCCCCCGACGGGCATTACTAGCTGATATATGTACAGGTTGGAAAAGAGTAAGTGGTGGCCAAACAAAAACATGACATAAATCAATCCATGAAATCCTTGACAGTTAAACTGAGTCGAGCAGGGAGATGCAGACTTCCGGGTTGGGGCCCGCCCTCGGGACTCTAAGAATCAGTAGCTAGAGACAATAGGTGACGTGGTTCAAAATCGTTGTCAATGGTTTACGCAGATGTATTCAGTCTCTGTAATCTTTCATATTCCTTTCTACCATCACTCATTCTGTTCCACTCTTACACTTGTCAAAACTCTATTGATTCTCTTCACTCATTTTCTTGTCTACCTCTGTGTGCTATTTGGAACGTGGCAAATCGAACTGCTGCACTTCGGTGCCAAGTGCTATGTTGAATCCAGCCAGCCAGCCATATTCAGGTAGATAGTTACAAGGGTTCTAGTGAGAAGTTGTGTCCAGTGGGGTACAGCAGGTTGAGTGTGAGATCAAATACTTGCCAGCAATGATATTGGCTAATGCTAGTCGCGCTATATCGTGAGTGGGCAGAAGTTGGAACTCAATGGGCTGGCCATTGGGTTGGGTCCTAGTGGCTTAATGGTTTATGCGCTTGCCTTGTAACCGGTAGGCTCTGCGTTCGAACCTCTTGTGGCGGGTGCTTAGTGTGAACAGTCCCGAAATAGAGCGAAACAGTTAGCTGTTCAGTACTCCCTCCCTGTCAGTTTCTCAATGGTCCTCTAAATGATGTCAGTTCATGATGGAAACTTGATAATTTGTGTCTATATTTGTGTTGGTTGGTTGACTCACGAATGCCTAAGTAAATGCCTTTTTTCTCTCTCCTCATTATTGCACCATTTTTTGTTTTTTTGTTATTGTTTCATATATAGACTGATGTTATCGACTGTGATTTTGCTATTGAATGGATGCGAGATTTTGAAGCCTTTCAAGACGCTTTAGCTGGTCATAATAATCAATCAGAGGATGGACGACCATCGGAATTATTAGCTGAAGGCGATGGTTCATCATTTCATAATCCTGGAGTATCACCATATATGAATAGTCTAGTTCATTCCATGTCACTAGTACTGGATGAATTTTATCGAGATCTACGCTGTTGTGGCATTTCTTCAATAACAGGTGAAGGTATGGCAAAGTTTATGGAGAAAATTAATGAAGCCACGGAAGAATATTTTAAGGTTTGTGAATTTTTTTTGATTTGACAACCCCTTCCCCTGCACCGCCCCATTTTTTTCTTCCCC